GAGCCGGTTCTCTAAAAAGAGCCGGAATTCCCATCACTAGTATCATGGTCCTGGACTCATTCAACGATTTCTGGGCTTTTTATGATCTCCACTGCCCCTTGACCCACCCCTGATGGAGTCTGGTCACTGTTGAAAAAATATGATATTATCAGGATGTCATGTTCCAACATCCTCTTACGGATATTGCCACATCGTGTGTAATGGAAATAAGGAAATATTCAAAGAACATGAAAATTTGAGATGAGCCAAAAAAACAACAACTGTCTGATTACTGTGCGGAGACCGTAATAGGTATGAATATGAAATTCACAGGGCACGTGTAGAGTAGTGCCTGAAGCTCACATACCAAAAATCGTGTTTGTCGTGTTTGTAGCGCCCCCTATTGGATAAAAAAACAGCAGCCCCGGCGCCACGTTTCACCAATATGTACGAAACTCGGTAGGTACGTGTAACGTGCCGGGACGTACAAAAAAGCCTCTTGGACCCATACCCGAAACCCCACAGGAAGTCGGCCATTTTGATTTTCATTTTCGGCAAACTTTTCGCGTTGTATTTGAACGAACTCCTCCTAGGGAATTTATCGGATATGCTTCAAATTTGGTCAGTACAGTCAAAAAATGGTGTTGATTAAAAGTTGTACTATTTGTGCATGTACGTTAAAGGGCGTGTCCGTGGCGTTCCCTCAAAGTTGGCCAGGTTGAATCGAATGTCAAACTGTGATACTATTTCCGGCATTTAAGGGCTTCTGTTTTAACTAACTCCTCCTACAGATTTTATCAGATTGACTTCAAATTCGATCACTTCAATCTACACACATTGGTTAACAAAAGTTGTGCTATTTGTGACTGTATGTTTAAACGTGTGCCCGTGACGACGTGTCGATTTCCACCGATTGGCCATCAAACAGATAGTACTCATATCTTCAGTGTACAGTCCCACCCTGAACACGTCCTCATAACTCCAGCGTACATGATCCAATCTCAATGAAACTTCACATGTTTGATAACAGTCCCACCCTGAACACGTCTACATGACAATATTCAGACATAGTGATAGCGCCACCTACTGGCAACAGGGAGTATCACGTTTTATACTTTCATGTTGTACTCCTAGCAGGATGATCAGATCCAGCTGAAATTTACTTATAAAATGCAAAACACATTGTTGATGATATGTGTTGACTGTGGTGAGGGGGCGTGTCTGTGGGGTTGCGGGAAATTTTGATGGACCGCCACAAAACACGAATTCACTATAACTTGAGTGTACATTGTCCAATCGGCTCCACACTTCAAATGCTTGATAACAGTCCTGCCCTGAACACGTGTACAAGACAATATTCAGACATAGTGATAGCGCCACCTGCTGGCAAAGGAGAGTAAGCGCTGCGTGGCAATTTTGAGCTGATTTACGTGAGATTTTCATGATGTGGTCTGCGCGTGTCATGACAGCACGCCCCGAGTTGCGTGGAGTGTGAGGTCCTGCCCAACGCTGCTTGCAGCTTTAATTTTGAGATTGTTTTCACTTTTTTGGATTCAAAATTAGCAATTCAATATTTGAATCTTTTAAATCTGAAATATGTTCAAAATTTTATGTATGCTAAAAAAATAAAAAAAAACACAACAACAATAACCGAGTGGATAATTAGGGTTATTGTTATCTAGGGATAACAGTTTCTGCTCGCTCAATAAAACTGTTGAACAACGTCTGAGATAATGAGATAATTAGCTGTCAATGTTTGGAACCAATGCTGTTTTATAATTCTTTAACAATGAAATGCTTTTCATTTTTAAATATTGTTTTCATTACAGACAAATGTTTTTGTGATTTTCTTCTTTAAGAATACTTCTGAAAATATGTTCTTCGTTTAAAACCAAAGTGCTGGATAGTACTCAAATACAAAGAACAATAATCACATTGGTGTATCCCCAGACAGTGTAATATACACCAATCAGCCATAACATTATGAGCACTGACAGTGAATAATGATAATGATTCATTCACTGATTATGTGGTTATCAGGGCTCCTGTCATTGGGGGGGGTATATCAGGCAGACAGTGAACATTTTGTCCTCAGAGTTGAAGTGTTAGAAGCAGGAAAAATGGGCAGCGTGAGGATCTGAGCCACTTTGACAAGAACCACATTGTGATGGACGACTGGGTCAGAACATCTGGAGAGGTGTCAGTTAGACCTCCAGTGTACTGCTGATGTGCCCCTGAGCAAGGCACCCAACCCCTAACTGCTCACAGTGTCCCTACATGGCAGCCCATCACTCCACCATCTCTCCACATTTGCATGTCTATAAGCCCTCCATATGCATGATTTTATTTTATTTATTTTATTAGCCAGGGTGTAAACTAAGAGTGAAAAAAGAATTTGTCCATTGGGGATTAATAAAGTATATCTTCTTCTTCTTAATGTGGCTGATTGGTGTATATATATTGCTCTCTCTCTCTCTCAGTTGGGCAGGTGGCTTTCTCAGCCTCTCTGTTGGCTACAGGCAGCGGACATGTCGGACCCTTTCCCAGACACACTACTCTGATCTTCAAACATGTCCCCACAAACATTGGAAAGGCCTACAACCCACACACAGGTACCTGAACTCTGTTATTTTTACCTATGCTGATGTCTAATGTTGCAACATTTGAATTTTCATTTAAAAAAACTAAAAAACAGGTATTTTCACTGCACCAGTGAGAGGAGCCTACCACTTTGAGTGGTACATAGGAACATTTGGAGGTCACCATGCTTCAGGAGCTGTGTTGGTCAAGAACTCACAACACATTTTTATTGCATATGAACATCAACCATCCCATTATGGGACTTCTGCTAATGGGGTTACACTGCTGATAGAGGTTGGAGATGTTGTGTCTCTGCATCTGTGGGTTAATACAAAGGTGTTTGACAGTTATTATCACCATACCACCTTCAGTGGTCATCTGCTTTTCACTATGTAAGACAGAAACTCTTCTTCTTTTCCTTTAAACTCTGATAATCATGCAGGTTTTTGCTGTCCTGAACAATTCTTGTACTGAATTGATCTTAAATGTAATCTGATAATCTTGAATCACTGTAGTAATGTATAGTGTTTGCAGTGCAACAACAATTTCTAATAATTTAAATGTTCAGACATTTTTCATCTGGTCTGGATCTGCAGTCAAATATACTGAAGAGAAATAATCTAATATACAGGTGATTCTTTTTTCTGATGCTCTTGTCATTAATAAAATAATAAACATATATACAACTAACTTTCCTGCCTTGAATGATTCAACATATAGCTTTAATTAGACGAGTCTAAGCTGACAATTTAACAGCAGTAAGATCAAGATAGTTAAACTAAGTTTATTCAACTGGCTCCTGGAGTTTCCCTCATCTCAGAGTTAACAGACTCGTTTCTTTAATCCTTCTCCCTGAAACATCATCACTTCTGTGAAGTTGGTGTTTCCTCATTCCCAAAAACAAACCAAACTGACAACATATTTCACATGATGTAGTGGGCTAAAATAAGTATTAGGAGCAGCAGCAGGAGACTGAGGAGATTATATATAAACCTTTATTTTATCAGGTAAGTCTTGATAAGACCTGAGTACATAAGTGTTTAAATACAAACAAAAATGTAAAAAAATATAAGTTAAGATAGGAATGGATAAACTGTATTAATCCTGTCAACATCAGGGTGGGATTTAATCATGTCCCCCGTCCCTGGACATCAAGTCCCACTGACATTGAGATCTAATTTTTTTCATCTGAATTAATACATTTAAGTTAACAAAGTACAGAAAGGAGTTTGAATTATTGGAGAAGTGGCAAAAGGATTAAGAATGTAAAATATACTGTTATATCTGTGATGCATGAATAAATGTCATAATGTGGTCAAGATTTGGTTGAAAGGTTGAAGAATGTTTGTCTGTCTGTCTGTCTGTCTTTGTGACATTTATAAGACAAATCCACACTCCTGGCACCGATAACTAATATTTATTTATTTCCATCTTTATTACACACGCTGATGTTCTGATCACCATCAATACTAATTTCCTTTGTTACAGTTGATTTGCTTATAGAGGCTGTTGTTTTCAGCTTTGTATTCCCTTTGTAAAGCTGAAAGAAGTGGAGCAGCAGAAGTCTGAGTTAGAGAGGCAGGAGACTACATTGAAGAAGCAGGATATTGTAAACAAAGGGTCGCCGTTTCAAGTTTCCCTCATCTCAGGGTCAACAAACTCATTTCTTTAATCCTGCCTCCTCAAACATAATCACTTCTGTGAAGTTGGTGTTTCCTCATTCCCAAAAACAAACCAAACTGACAACACATTTCACATGATGTAGTGGGCTAAAATAAGTATTAGGAGCAGCAGCAGGAGACTGAGGAGATTATATATAAACCTTTATTTTATCGGGTAAGTCCCACTGACATCGAGATGTCATTTTCAACAGAGACATGAGTACACAAGTGTTTAAATACAAACAAAACTTTAAAAAAATATAAGATAAGATCAGGAATAAGGTAAGATAAGGAAGATAAGGAATGGATAGACTGTATTGATCCTGTCAACATCAGGGTGGGATTTAATTATGTCCCCCGTTGCTGGACATCAGCTGTTCCTGGTGGGATAGGTGACTGAGAGTGGGCGGACTGAGGATCTTGATGGACTCAAAGGTTCATCCATAGGTTGAGACATCATTTGTGTTGAATGGCTGATGTGCAGTGAAGTTGGCTGGTGACCAAACCTGTCTAACTTTATAAAACAAAGACACACCTCTGTTGAGTAATGCTTCATCAAGTGGAACCAGTCTGCCACAGTGTAGTATGAGGAAATAAACTCAGTGCCCATTCCTTCTTCACTCAACACAACACTTAATTTCTGTAATGGCTCATATATACATATATCCTCATTCTGACAATGGCTGAGAATAAATCATGTGAAATGGGGATAAGGAAATATTCTGTCTGTGGCGTCCACCTCCTTCACCTTCACGCCTCTTTTTGCTGTACTACATAAACCTCACACCGGTCTACAGAGGACACAGTTCACCTGTGTAAGCTGCCAGTGTGACAATGAAGATCACTGTGATTTTCCCGTTGCTGCTGCTGGTCTGCTCTGGCTCCACAGATCAGAATAAGCAGATTGCAAAGCAACAGCCTTTTCCACAAGACATCAATGCTGTGCTGAGAGAGATGGCCGTTACTTTGACTCAACAGAAGTTTGAGATGAGATTGCTGCAAAGAGAGAATAAAGGTACAGTATTATGTCAGGTAATGAGAGAAGGAATAACATCAGGAACCCTTCCATAGGAACCACTGTTGTTTTACAAGGGAATCAATATCATAGCAGTTCATATCCAAAAGTATAGAAAGTGCAAAAAAAGTATTCAAAACAAATCACATTAACAAATTTATTTCTCCTCTTTTTCAGAGCATGCAGCAAAGCTGGAGCGACAGGAGACTGAGTTGAAGAAGCAGGAGACTGAGTTAAAGAAGCAGGAGACTGAGTTGAAGAAGCAGGAGACTGAGGTTGACAAGCTGAAGCAACAGCTGAAAGGTACTGTGTGTGTGAAATCATCATGTCTGATTATTTGTATAACAAAAATGTAATGTATCTTTCTTACACCAATACTACTACTGTGTGGTATAAAATGTAATTTCCCAGAATATTATTTATTCTCAAATACCATAATATCAAGTACTGAAACTGATAACTGCTGCCATTATTAGTACGTGCATGTATTGGAGAAAGTGTTTATGATTTCTACCAGCTGCTTCTGCTCCTTTGAGATTTATAGCAGGACATTTCATTTTACCAAATTCAATCATGATGACCAACTTTAATTTCTAACCTATTTAAAGTTGTATTTGTCCTGATGCACCACCTACAGATGGACGTCCATCAAATTCTTAACAAGTGAGAATTGTCCAGAATAAGAGCTTTATAACTTGGTGGTGCTTTTATGTTGAAAATATTCCCTGGGGAATTATACGTATGATATCCTTTGTATGTGTAGTATTTTAGATATTGATGAATTTATGTGAACTCCCATTGATAGTCATTCAACAAAGAAATCATACAATAATCAATATTTCAAAAACTGTACAATAATTTATCACCAAGTTGGAATACATTAAATAATCTCTTACACATGCTGCCAGAATAAGAACTAGAACCATGTTTCTAGCTAGTATGCATATGTTCAACTGTCAAACATTAGTTTGATTAGAGATAATTATTAGGGACCGAGCCAGCCACCGCTGGAGGTCCCTATTGTATTTGTTATGTTTCTTATTAGGGACCGAGCCAGCGACCGGAAAGGTCCCTATTGTTTTTGCTTGATTTCTTCTTCTTCTTCTTCTTCTTACTTATTATTATTTTTAGCCCCCTTTGACTGCATTTTTGCCCCCCTGAACATACACGAAAAAAGTTGTCAGGCCTGGTGAAAATGGGGATATTCTATGGGTCACTTTCGGGTTGGCCACTAGGTGGCGCTACTATCATACAAAATGCATTTATGCTAATAACTTCTGCATAGTTTGTCGCACGTTCATAAACTTTGTACCCACGTGTTCGGTGAATAGAGCTGAATCTCCCCATATAGGCCACGCCCACTTCCGCCTAGAATTTGTCTCCGCTAGAACGCAAAATGTCCATAAACTACTTTTCCGTGTTCCCCCCATGCACTTTGTCCAATTCGAAAAAAAATTTTCACGTATCATCTGAGGACCCTCATAATAAAAAAGTGATTAACAGAATTTTGATATTTCAAAAAACCATTACGTTATAAAATTAGCACTTCCTGTGGATTTTTCGTCAAAAAAGGAAGTGGACCATTTCTCCACATTGGTATGTCCGATTGACACCAAACTTGTGTCCATAGTTCCCCATGTCTTCCTTAAGCATCGTGCACAATTTCAGGCCATCGCCACTAGGTGGCGCTCTTTAAGATAAAGAAGATTATATCTCTACAACGGTATGTGTGATTAAGATGAAACTTGGTACAATGCTTCCCCATGGCTCCCTGACACTCCCTTAAAATGGACAAAAAAAATACTCCACTAGGTGGCGCTCTTTTGACATGATAAATCACTGTTCAGAGACCGTAATAGTTATGAATATGAAATTCACAGGGTACGTGTACAGTAGTGCCTGAAGCTCACATACCAAAAATCGTGTTCGTCGTGTTTGTAGCGCCCCCTACAGGATAAAAAAAACAGCAGCCCCGGCGCCACGTTTCACCGATATGTACGAAACTCGGTAGGCACGTGTAACATGCCGGGACGTACAAAAAAGCCTCTTGGACCCATACCCGAAACCCCACCGGAAGTCGGCCATTTTGATTTAAATTTTCACTTTCGGCGAACTTTTCGCGTTGTATGTGAACGAACTCCTCCTAGGGAATTTATCGGATATGCTTCAAAATTAGTCAGTACAGTCAAAAAATGGTGCTGATTAAAAGTTGTGCTATTTCTGCATGTACATAAAAGGGCGTGTCCGTGGCGTGCCCTCAAAGTTGGCTATTTTGAATTCTGTGGTCATACAAACTGATTGAAAAGTTGAGCTATTTGTGACTGTACATTAAACCGTGTGCCAGTGACAACTTGTCCATTTCAGCAGATTCGCCATAAAATAGTGCTCATAACTTCAGTGTGCAATGTCCAATCTCCAATAAACTTAAAATATTCTGAAATGGTTTTGCCCTGAACACGTCCTCATAACTTCAGCGTACATGGTCCAATCTCAATGAAACTTCACGTGTTTGATAACAGTCTCACCTTGAACATGTCTGCATGACAACATTCAGACATAGTGATAGCGCCACCTTCTGGCAACAGGAAGTAAGAGCTTCGTGGCGATTTTGAGCTGATTTACGTGACATTTTCGTGTTGTGGTCGGCACGTGTTACGACGGCACGCAACGCGGCCGCAGCCCGCCCCGAGTTGCGTGGAGTAAGAGGTCCCGCCCAACGCTGCTTGCAGCTTTAATTAGGGACCGAGCCAGCGACCGCTGGAGGTCCCTATTGTATTTGCTATGTTTCTTCTTCCTTATTATTTTTAGCACTTTTGAATGCGTTTTTCCCCCTGAACATAGACGAAAAGTCAATTTTATTTGGCAAAGTGGTCAGGCCTGGTGAAAAATTTTATATTCTATGCGTCGCTTTCGGGTTGGCCACTAGGTGGCGCTACTATCATAAAAAATACGTTTAGGCTAATAACTCCCGCATCGTTTGTCGCACATTCAAAAAACTCATATCCACGCGTTCGGTGAAGAGAGCTGAATCTCCCCATATAGGCCACGCCCACTTCGCCTATAATTTGTTTTCGTTAGAGCGCGAAATGTCCATAAACTACTTTTCCGTGTTCCCCCCATGCGCTTTGTCCGATTCGCAAAAATTTTGACGTAGCATCTGAGGACCCTCACAATAAAAAAGTGATTAAAAGAATTTTGATATTTCTTAAAACCAGCACGTTATAAAATTAGCACTTCCTGTGGATTTTTCGTCAAAAAAGGAAGTGGACCATTTCTCCACATTGGTATGTCCGATTGAAACCAAACTTGGGTCCATAGTTCCCATGTCTTCCTTAAGCATCGTGCACAACTTCAGGCCATTGCCACTAGGTGGCGCTCTTTAAAATGAAGAAGTTTATATCTCTACAACAGTATGTGTGATTAAGATGAAACTTGGTACGATGCTTCCCCATGGCTCCCTGAGGCTTGCTAAAAAATGTGTCAACAAGTCTGGTGGCAGGGTAAATCACTGTGCGGAGACCGTAATAGGTATGAATATGAAATTCACAGGGCACGTGTAGAGTGGTGCCTGAAGCTCACATACCAAAAATCGTGTCGTCGTGTTTGTAGCGCCCCCTATTGGATAAAAAAACAGCAGCCCCGGCGCCACGTTTCACCAATATGTACGAAACTCGGTAGGTACGTGTAACGTGCCGGGACGTACAAAAAAGCCTTTTGGACCCATATCCCAAATCCCTCAGGAAGTCAGCCATTTTGATTTTCATTTTCACTTTCGGCAAACTTTTCGCGTTGTATTTGAACGAACTCCTCCTAGGGAATTTATAGGATATGCTTCAAAATTGGTCAGTACTGTCAAAAAATGGTGCTGATTAAAAGTTGTACTATTTGTGACTGTACGTTAAAGGGCGTGTCCGTGGCGTTCCCTCAAAGTTGGCCAGGTTGAATCGAATGTCAAATTCGATCACTTCAATCTACACACATTGGTTATCAAAAGTTGTGCTATTTGTGACTGTATGTTTAACCGTGTGCCCGTGACGACGTGTCGAATTCCACCGATTGGCCATCAAACAGATAGTACTCATATCTTCAGTGTACAGTCCCACCCTGAACACGTCCTCATAACTCCAGTGTACATGATCCAATCTCAATGAAACTTCACATGTTTGATAACAGTCCCACCCTGAACACGTCTACATGACAATATTCAGACATAGTGACGTTTTATACTTTCATTTTGTACTCCTAGCAGGATGATCAGATCCAGCTGAAATTTACTTATAAAATGCAAAACACATTGTTGATGATATGTGTGACTGTGGTGAGGGGGCGTGTCTGTGGGGTGGCGGGAAATTTTGATGGACCGCCACAAAACACGAATTCACTATAACTTGAGTGTACATTGTCCAATCGGCACACTTCAAATGCTTGATAATAGTCCCGCTCTGAACACGTGTATATGACAATATTCAGACATAGTGATAGCACCACCTACTGGCAAAGGGAAGTAAGCGCTGCGTGGCAATTTTGAGCTGATTTACGTGAGATTTTCATGATGTGGTCTGCGCGTGTCACGACGGCACGCGACGCGGCACGCCCCGAGTTGCGTGGAGTGCGAGGTCCTGCCCATCGCTGCTTGCAGCTTTAATTTTGAGATTGTTTTCACTTTTTTTGGATTCAAAATTAGCAATTCAATATTTGAATCTTTTAAATCTATGTTCAAAATTTTATGTATGCTATAATAAAAAAAAAACAATAACAAAAACAAACAAACAAAACAATAACCGAGTAGATAATTAGGGTTATTGTTATCTAGGGATAATAGTTTCTGCTTGCTCAATAAAATTGTTGAACAACGTCTGAGATAATGGAACCAATGCTGTTTTATAATTCTTTAACAATTAAATATTTTTCATTTTTAAATATTGTTTTCATTACAGACAAATGTTTTTGTGATTTTTTTCTTCAAGAATACTTCTGAAAATATGTTCTTTGTTTAAAACCAAAGTGGTGGATAGTACACAAATACAAAGAACAATAATCACATTGGTGTATCCACAGACAGTGTAATATACACCAATCAGCCATAACATTATGAGCACTGACAGTGAATAACACTGATTATCTGGTTATCAGGGCTCCTGTCAGTGGGGGGGGGATATCATATATGAACATTGGGTCCTCAGAGTTTGAATGTTAGAAGCAGGAAAAATGGGCATTTTTTTGGGGGATTAATAAAGTATATCTTCTTCTTCTTAATGTGGCTGATCGGTGTATATATATTGCTCTCTCTCTCTCTCTCAGTTGGGCAGGTGGCTTTCTCAGCCTCTCTGTTGGATACAGGCCACGGAGATGTCGGACCCTTTCCCACATACACTACTCTGACCTTCAAACATGTCCCCACAAACATTGGAAAGGCCTACAACCCACACACAGGTACCTGAACTCTGTTATTTTTACCTATGCTGATGTCTATAGTTGCAACAGTTTAATTTTCATTTAAAAAGACTAAAAACAAATGTTCAACAGGTATTTTCACTGCACCAGTGAGAGGAGCCTACCACTTCGAGTGGTACATAGGAACACATGGAGGTGCTCAACCTTCAGGAGCTGTGTTGGTCAAGAACTCAGAACACATTTTTATTGCATGGGAACATCAACCATCCCATTATGGGTCTTCTGCTAATGGGGTTACACTGCTGCTAGAGGTTGGAGATGTTGTGTTTCTGCGTCTGTGGGTTAATACAAAGGTGTTTGATAATAGTAATCACCATACCACCTTCAGTGGTCATCTGCTTTTCACCATGTAAGACAGAAACTCTTCCTCTTTTCCTTTAAACTCTGATAATCATGCAGGTTTTTGCTGTCTTGAACAATTCTTGTACTGAATTGATCTTAAATGTCATCTGATAATCTTGAATCACTGTAGTAATGTATAGTGAACTTTCTTTGCAGTGCAACAACAATTTGTAATAATTTAAATGTTGAGACATTTTTCATCTGGGTCTGGATCTGCAGTCAAATATACTCAAGAGAAATAATCTAATATACAGGTGATTGTTTTTTCTGATGCTCTTGTCATTAATAAAATAATAAACATATATACAACTAACTTTCAAATGATTCAACATATAGCTTTAATTAGACAAGTCTAAACTGACAATTTAAGAGCAGTAAGATCAAGATAGTTAAACTAAGTTTATGCAACTGGCTCCTGGAGTTTCCCTCATCTCAGAGTTAACAGACTCATTTCTTTAATCCTGCCCCCTCAAACATCATCACTTCTGTGAAGTTGGTGTTTCCTCATTCCCAAAAACAAACAAAACTGACAACACATTTCACATGATGTAGGGGGCTAAAATAAGTATTAGGAGCAGCAGCAGGAGACTGAGGAGATTATATATAAACCTTTATTTTATCAGGTAAGTCTTGATAAGACCTGAGTACATAAGTGTTTAAATACAAACAAAAATGTAAAACAATATAAGATAAGATAGGAATGGATAAACTGTATTAATCCTGTCAACATCAGGGTGGGATTTAATTATGTCCCCCGTCGCTGGACATCAAGTCCCACTGACATTGAGATCTAAGTTTTTTCATCTGAATTAATACATTTAAGTTAACAAAGTGTAGAAAGGAGTTTGAATTATTGGAGAATTGGCAAAAGGATTAAGAATGTAAAATATACTGTTATATCTGTGATGCATGAATAAATGTCATAATGTGGTCAAGATTTGGTTGAAAGGTTGAAGAATGTCTGTCTGTGTGTCTGTCTGTGTGTCTGTCTGTGTGTCTGTCTGTCTGTCTGTGTGTCTGTCTGTGTGCCTGTCTGTCTGTGTGTCTGTCTGTGTGACATTTATAAGACAAATCCACACTCCTGGCACCGATAACTAATATTTATTTATTTCCATCTTTATTACACACGCTGATGTTCTGATCACCATCAATACTAATTTCCTTTGTTACAGTTGATTTGCTTATAGAGGTTGTTGTTTACAGCTTTGTATTCCCGTAATATACTTATTATCTCTTTACATCACTATTCATTAATATTTCCAACTTTGTTGTGGTTGTTTTTGTCCGATTAATTTTGGTTAGATAATTAATTAACAATCAGCATACAGAATTATTTTATATTATTTATATCTTTATTTTGTTGGTTGATCATGAAAAAACATCCATTAATATACTTCTAACACTATCCACTTTTTGTCTTCTTTTCTCCTTTCTTTTCATTATTTTTTAATCTTCCCTTGGTCTTACCTGCACTGCTGTTGAGTTTTACTGTGCTCACCAACATCAGGTTCATCAGATCAGAATCACTTTTCATGCAGCTTCACATATGGATACACGTACGACAAATATACATTATTTCATACAGGTGACTCACCAAAAAATACATTAGCACACATTCTCTTTTCACTACACATTTACACTTTATTCCCCTCTTTAATTTGTCACTGTCCTACCCCATCTCTTTTTATTTTCTCTTCATTCATGAACAGGCTCTCTCCCGTTGGGTCTGGGAGCTGTTCAGTGGGTGACGGGTTGTCCCCCAACAGCCAGCTACCTCCTCTGGGCCTGCATGGGAAAGGTAACCCCTGCCTCAGTAAAATAAAATAAAATTAAAAATAAAATATATATATAAAATAATAATAATAATAGTAATAAAAATAAATAGATATCGCACAAAATTGAAACAAACATAGATAAATAAATAAATAAGCTTTGTGCTCCCAACTGCAGTCAAGGGTTGTCATGGCGATGGCACTTGCTGTGTGTCTACAGGGTCAGAGGTTTCATTTCACAGAGATTTTAGCTGACACACATCTCTCATGATCAGTGTTGGGCATCTTACTTTAAAAAAGTAATTAGTTATAGTTACAAATTAAAATTACTTCTCCCAAAAAGTAATTGAGTTAGTAACTCAGTTACCACATTGTAAAAGTAATTAGTTACTCAGCAAAGTAACTGTGACATTATTTTTTATGTTCTGTAACGCTATTACATTCTATAACATCTTCTATGACGTCAAAGATGAATAAAAACACTATATATAGTATTTTAGAGCATTTGGTATTAATTTGAACTCAATAGATTGCAGCCATATGCATAGAAATAAAAATATATAAAAAATAAATATTGAAAATAAAATTCACACGTTACATAAACATTCTTCCTTTAACTTCAGTAAGTGAGAAGTAGTGTCGGTACTTCCACATTAACAACGCTACCTTTGAATTTCCCTGGCTCGTTGCCATTGTCTCTGTCTTGTGTTTATAGTAGTAGTTAGAGTGTGCAGTGAGACAGCGTGCAGTGAGACAGCGTGCAGTGAGACAGCATGAGCAGGGCATCCGCCCACCCAGCCAATCATCATCACATTTGCAACGGTGTCATCATCACCACCTCTGCTCTCTCCAGGCAGCTGATGTGTGTCTGTCAGAAAGCCTGACACCGCTGCGCTTCCAAAATTGTAGTAACAATTTTCAAAACAAAACTCCCAACACTGCTCATGATTATGCTTCTAGCACCCAGATGCTGACTGCTATCAACCAAAATGGGGATATTTTCAGCAAGACGAGAGCCTGCCGAGCACATGTGGTCAGATTTTGTGTGTAGAGTCAGCAATGTGAGCACACTGGCTGTCAGAGGAAGCTCTGCTTCTGCTTTACTTCTGAAATTTCTCCTCCTTCCTAATATGGAAGTTAATGCAGTTGGTCGGCAACCGGCACAACTTGTTTTGTGTTTTGAAGTACAAATTATGACTGTGAAGTGAAAATTTTGACCATGAGAGCGAGTTGAAGACAAGATTTCAAATATTCTCTCCACTCTAGCGATGATACACACTAATGGAAAAGTCTCAGAAGGGCTGAAATTTTCATGGATTTACATTTACACACGAACGTGTCAAAAGTGTAAATGTATGCAAAAGCTAAATTAATGCAAGAAAGTCCTATTTGTTGTGAACGTTTGAATGTTTGAATGGAGTTTCTATGTAAATGTATGAATGCATTGAAAAAGGTTGAAGATGTTTGAGTTTGAAGGGTTTTCTAATTTACTTCCATTGTAACTTTGTTGAAAGAAAAGATTCACATTTTGAAACGTTTTAATGGGTTTTAAAAGTTGAATGATAGCTTTCAGTGTTTGTAACGTTGAAAGTCTAGTGTTGAAAATTTGTGATAGAATTAAAATTCACCATAAGGAATGAATAGGGTAGGTGCCAAATAAAGATTTTGTGCCGCGTTTTGAGAACGTGTATGAGAACAGTTTAAGTATGAGTTTAAGTATTTTCTTCCACTAAACGGTGCAGTATAATCACACTCTAAAACTATTGTATCCTCTTTTTTGGAACATGGTTCAAAGGTTAAGAAGCTGAAGCAAAAGCTGAAAACATGAACACAATTTACCAGAATATAATTTATTCTTATTCTTGGAGAGAATGTGTGTGATTTCTACCTGCTGCTTCTGCTGTTCTCAGATTTATAGCAGGACATTTCATTTATTACAAAATTCAATCACGGTGGCCAAGCACATATTTCATTAATAATCTAGTTATTTAAAGTTGTATCTGTAATGTTGCACCAGCAGAAGGCTGCTCAGTGACAACAAGAATGAAGTAAGGGTGTGTAAAAAGTACAGGAAAGGAGCTTTATAACTTTCCACAGACTGGTGCTACATGTTGAGCATATTCCCTGGGGGATGTAAATCCAGGTATGATTTTCTTTATACGTGTAGAATTTTAGATATTGATGCTTTTATGCTGGAAGTGTGTAAGAGTAGTTAAGTGAGTAGATAATTAGTATAATTGTTATCTAGGGATAACAATATTTGCTTGCTCAAGAAAACTGTCTGAGATAACAAGATCATTAGCTTTCGATCTCTAGAAAATGAACATTTTAGTGCAACCACTGCAGTTTTCTGCTTCAACAATGAAATGATTTTAACCGTCAAACATTGCTATCATTCGAGATAAATGATTGTGTGATTTTAATAGTTTTTTGGAGAATACCGTTAATGATAATAATCATTTAAAATGTATCTAAAGTGGTGGATTCAACACAAATTTACAAATAAATTGGTGAATACACAGTCAGGCAGGTGGCTTTCTCAGCCACACACAGGTACCTGAACATTTTTTTTACCTATGTTGATGTCTAATGTTGCAACAGTTGATTTAAAAAGACTAAAAACAAATGTCCAACAGGTATTTTCACTACACCAGTGAGAGGAGTCTACCACTTTGTTGTCTTGAACAATTCTTGCACTACACTGATCTCAAACATAACCTGATAATCTTGAATCACTGTAGTAATGTATAGTAAACTTCTAATTTTCCTTTATATAAAATACATAAGAGCAGTGTCACATCAATTTATAAAAATGAAAATGTTCAGACTTTATTTTTGTTTATCTGGATCTGAAGTCAAATACACATAAAGCTACCTGTGCTTCTTCATACAGCTAGATTTGCCCCCACGGCCTGCTGTGTCTTTGGTTGCAAGATCTGGCATAAATATAGTGACAAAACAATGAACCAATCCAAAGTAGATTGTAGAGTTGAGTGAGAACTGATAATACGACTATCAAACAAGTAAAATGTGTCAATATACAGAATTCTTTCTCTTTTGATCAAAACCATTGCTCTGAAACTTAATTCAGTTAATATATATTAATAAAAGATGTATTCTTCCTTTTGTAATCTGTCCAAATAAAAGCAAGAAAGTAAACTACAAAATAGTAGCACAATACATGGAACCACTGATCTTATTTACCATTCACTGCCAGTCCACTACATTTCAGATATTGTACTTGTATTTATCTGACAGATATGGTTAGTAGTTATTTTACAAAATAAGAGTTTACAAAAGAAAATAATAAAATACAACAATGTTTAAGGGCGTTTTTACACCTAAAAGTCCGGACCAAGGTCCGGACCAACGTTCGTGTTTGATTACATTTTATCCCGTTATTTTCGGTTTCACATAGTCATTTTGCTAGCGCACTAAAGAACTTTCCATGACATATCTATGGCGTATCGTCACCACGTTACGTGTGCTGTGTCTCCCTTTGATTGGTGAGTAGACGGGCGTGCGTATGACGTTGGCTTGT